ATGCCTAGGATATCAATTTTTATGTGTTCCATTTCATTTTTGACAACTTCCAATTTTCCTAGATTCATACTTTGTACATTCCATGTTACAGTTATTAATGGGTATTTGCAGCTGTTTCTTCTCATTTTGAATTGTGCCATATCAGCAAATGGAGGTCCCAAAAACTTTATTCTATCCTTCATTAAGGTCAGCTCTACTCTGAGGAGGCAGCTCTTCCTCAGTTGTGTTTTGAGTGCCTTCTGACCTGAGGGACCCATTTTCCAGCACTATATCAGACAGTGTTTCAGGGCTACTTATAAAGTTTTCCAGTAGTATATCAGACAATATTTCACTACTGTTCATAAGGTTTTCACTGGCCAATTCTTTGAGAGGTGGATAGTCCCTTTCTTTTTCCCAGTCTATTTTAGTCTGAAAGCTCCGCTGAAACCTTTCCACCATGGGTAACCTTGCTAGTATTTGAAATACCGGAGGCATAGCCTCCAGCCTCACAGCAACACAAAAGCCACCACAATACGACAGACTGACAGACGAGTCAATAACTAGAAGTTCTGAATTCTGAAATTGTCCATATAAAAAATATAATACAAATTATAGTCATAAATCACAAGTCCTAGTGATATGAAATATGTGTATATCTGCATATATGTAGCACAGAAAAGTGTCATATGCAAGTTTTAAAATCTGAAAATGTGATATTTAATAATGTGTTTTACACAGAGAGATATGCTGCTTGGTATACTGTTCCAATTTGCTAGTCACTCATTTATATTCTAATTCTCGCTGTCAATGGACATAAAAATATTGGGGTAATATTTTGATACCATGTCACTGAACTACCTTATTTATAATTATAAATCTCATACTAATCTAATGAATGGCTTGAATATATATTTGTGTTTCATTATAATTCTCTATTTCTCATAATTATTAATTTTACAAATATTAATAATGAAAAGTATGTTTTAAAGTATCATGGATGTCATAGAGATATAACCACTATCTAAATTCTTGACATTAGAGTGCACTGTAGGAGTACAAAGAATTAAAACATAATCCTCTTCTTTGAGGCATTTACAATCCAGCATACTTGTCATTGAAAGAAATTTCTGTGAAGATGATGTCATTAACTCTTTTTGATTTTAAGTGTCAGGTGCCCAGGAATTGGAGTCCCTGGGTGGCACAAATAGTTAAAGCTACAAACCAAAAAGTTGGTGGTTAAAATCCACTCAGAGGTGCCTTGGGGGAAAGGCCTGGCAACCAGTCTACTTTCAAAAGATCACAGCCTTTAAAAGTCTATGGAACATTGTTCTACTCTGAAATACTTGAGATTGCCATGAGTCAGAATCAACTTGGTGGCAGATAGTTTGGTTTTTCGTTTGCTTCTTTTCCCCAGGAATTGGTAAATTTTTTCTATAAACAATCAGGTTTTTTTGTAAATATTTTAGGTTTTATCACAATACATAAATGAATGTACATAGCTGTGTTCTAATAAGACTTTATTTACATAGACAGGCATTGGGCTAGACTATAGTTTGCCTATCCTTCCCATAAGCAATTGGCTGAAATTGAAGTTTATCATCATATCATTATGGTTGAGTTTAGCAAGAATTGAAAGATACTGTGACAAAATACAATTGCTTATTAGAACGCTATTGATAACAATATTATATATGTATGTATATACACACACAGTCACTGCCATCAAGTTGGATCCAACTCATGGCGACCCCTCCTTGGGTTTCCGAGGTGGTATCACTACAGAAGTAGGTTGCCAAGTCTTCCTTCCTGGAGTGGCTTGTGGGTTTGAACCACCAGCCTTCTGATTAGCAGTAAAATACCTTAGGCACTATGCCACTAAAGCTAC